CTTGCGGAATTAAACGCGTTGCGTATGTCAATTGCTACCAACGCGCAGAAGCTCTTCTTTTTCCCAGGTCCCAATTTGTTTTTTCCTGCTTTGGCTATGTCCATCTTCAGGTCGGGTTTACCCAGCTTTTCTCTTAGTGCTGTTTGAGAACATTCGATAATTGAAAACAAATATTATTAAAATAAATGTAAACTTTCGGAAGTTGGTGGTAAGTTTGGTGAATTGGATGAATTGAAAAATAATATTTATAACAATTGGTCATAAAATTATTATTATTATTATTATTATTATTATTATTATTATTATTATTATTATTATTATTATTATTATTATTATTATTATTATTATTATTATTATTATTCGTTATAATTGTCATATCTAAAAAATTTATTTTATTGTCAAATTCTAATTCAGGGGTGAATTTTAAGTTGATGTTAAAGGAATTAAAATTCTGTAAATACTAAAAGGTCAACATGGTCTATATGAACACAAAAGAGGGTGTCGTCAATATAACTAAAAGAAAAAATAGGTACATTTTTGAAATTCTTTTCGAGTAAATTTAATCAATCAGCACAGAGTCATTCTGAATAACAATATTCTCCAGTTCACTTTTTAATTCGAAACTATTGTTTATATAAGATTTAGAGAGAACAATTGCTGATTTGAATTCTTTATATGTAACCTCAGCCAAAAAGTGAGTAGTACTGTTTATTAGAGAAATAATAGGTCGAAGAGGTGCCTTGTCATTGTGTATCTTTGGTAAACCATAAAATTTTGCCAAAGAAGTGTTTTTTATCGCTAACTGATTATTGTGATATTTATATTTCAGAAAATTATTGTCATTTAATTATTATTATTGTTAATAATTATTAATAATTATTATTATTGTCATTTAAGTTACGAAGAATTTTGTACGTTTAGGATTGTAATTTAGATAAAATATTTTTGGTAGAAACTTCTTTACACGGAGCAAAATAAATAGTAATAATTATACTATTTTTGATGAAAAATTACTACTTTCAAGTAGAAATTTTGAAACTGCTCAAGAAATATTAACTTTTGCTTCGTTTTCAAAGAATGTTTACTTTTTTAAAAGAGTATAATTTACTTGAAAGAATATAAATTCTATTAAAAGCCGAATAATATTTAAAATGTCCCGAGCAATTAATACTCTAAGCGAAGCAACTTTTATTATGAATCAGAGCAGTTATTACTATTTCATAAAGATTTTTACTCGAAAAGTAGTAGTCTTTACCCACACAATGACGCGTCTCACTCCGACGGGTGAAACGAAAATAATGCTGGTGTAGAGAGCTATGTATTGTCTCGTTTTATTTTAATAAATTAAAATAATCAGTGCGTTCAAAAAATATTTTTTCAAGTAATTAACACTTTACATGTGTATTATTTTCATTAATTTATAAGTTTCACTCTTTTATCATATTCATACTTACAATTAACAACTTAACACATCAGAAAATCTTAACATCTATACAGATTCGAAACCTACCTACTTATATCGAAACGCAACCCTAAAATCGCACGCATTTACACTAAGCTTCTCTTTTTTTGGTTTAATTTAATTTAGATGGAAATATTTTGTTTTCAACTGTAATACAATGGTTTTTTTCAAACTGTAAATAAGAGTATTACTAACCTTTAATATAATCTCATGTTTTACTTCAGGTTTGATTTTAAAAAATGTAAAAATTTTTTGTTTTTGGAAAAAAATGAAGTTGTAATTTTAGAGGGGAATTTTTAGAACAGAAACACGTTTAATGCTTATTAGGATTAACGTAAAAGGATTTCGTTTAAAGATGCATGCCAATGGATTCGAAATTCTATGAACATGAAAAGTATTTTGTATTATCCCATTTCTGAATTTGATTTCGCAACTGGAAATTTCAACGTCTCTTGGATTATGGAAGATTAGCTCACTTATCGTCACTTAGACATGGTTACGCTGGAGATTCGTTGGAAATTTTAAAGCATAGAGCAATTTCTGGCTCAGCGCCAATTCAATTGGAATTGGAATTCCAATTTCTTTTGACTTTCATTTTTTAAACACACTAAAAACTGAAAAAGTATTTTTTTCACATTTTCCTTCTTTTTAAAAACGACTCGTGTGTCACGACAGCATGACAAGGCTAATCCTGGCACATAATATCGTGACTTGATTCCAATTCGACGAAATCCAATGGTTGGCAATAATTCTAGAGGTCGAAATGACTCTGGCCCAGTTTATGAACACGCCTCCATTTTCATTACTTTTGTTTATTAAAGTCTAAAGTTTAATTATTTTGCGAAAATTTTAATTATCTGAAGGTTTTTTTGAGAAAATAAATAAAAAAAAACCTTCTCATTTTGTTGAAGGTAAATGTCATTAAGGGCACGCGATGGAAAATAGGGAAAATCCTCTGGTCACCAGTCATAAACACATTTTGTATACCTACCATTATTGAACTTAGTGGACAATAATTTCAACGTTGAAACTGTTTAGTTCACCAACGTGATAATGTAACCCACTTTGTAATTTGTTTTCGCCGAGAATTTCCTACTAATGAATTATTGCCATTTGGATATATTTCTAGTGGGTGTTTCTCTATGATAATTTAGAACAATTTACACATTCCCATTGTGTGCGAAACATGCTCCGCAGTGGATACAAAAATTATAATAAAAGACTAGATTACTAAAACATATAATTGGAATACGGAATTTTTATTTTTTTTATAACAGCCCGCGTGGAAATAGAAGTATGTGTAAAAGATGGGAAACCATGGGCAAAGTATGGCGAAACATGGGAGGAAAAAAACTATTTTTTTTATATTTTCAAAACCATAGTTCGCCATACAGTACCGTCCGAAATTGTCAGTCCACCCATTTTTAAAGGAATGAAAAAAATTTTTTAAAATAAAATTCATGAAAACTAAAATTTTTTTTGGTTTATATTTTGAAAGACTATAAAATTTTGAAAAGAATAAGACCTCACAGAAGTCATTTGGACAAAATTTGTAGAAGATATTCTTAAAAATCGTCATTTTCAATGTTTTACAAAAATTTGAATAACTTCTAAAATAATGAACGCTTTTTAATAATCTTAGGCTTTTTTTAAAGGTCATTTTCTACGGAATAAGAATTACTTATAGGCATTAACCTATAATTTTTTATTTGGAATAAGCATGACGTCAAAGTTGGACAAAAAAATTGGAAAAATTTGAAATAATATTATTAAAAGAAAAATAATTATTTAAATTCAAACATATTTTTTTATTAAATTTTCTTGAAAAATCTACACCATATCATGTTTTATATATGTTCTAGAATAGTTTTTAGTACAAAAAATTTATTTCAAATTTTTCCAATTTTTTTGTCCAACTTTGACGTCATGCTTATTTAAAATAAAAAATTACAGGTTAATGCATATAAGTAATTCTTATTCCTTAGAAAATGACCTTTAAAAAAAGCCTAAGATTATTAAAAAGCGTTCATTATTTTAGAAGTTATTCAAATTTTTGTAAAACATTGAAAATGACGATTTTTAAGAATATCTTCTACAAATTTTGGCCAAATGACTTCTGTGAGGTCTTATTCTTTTCAAAATTTTATCGTATTTTAAAATATAAACCAAAAAAATTTTGAGTTTTCATAAATTTTATGTTAAAAATTTTTTTTCATTCCTTCAAAAATAGGTGGACTGACAATTTTGGCCGGTACTGTACTTTGTGTCCATAGTTTAAAAATATAAAAATAATAGGTTTTTTCTTCCCATATGGTTCGCTATACTTTTGCCGTGGTTTAAAAGCAATAAAAAATAGTTATGCTTCTTTCCATGCTTTGCTATACTTCTCCCATAGTTTGCCATTTTTACCCATTCTTCTATTTTAATTGATAATTCGAGTTTCTTCTCCAAAACTTGAAACAGAACAGAACCGTACCGAATAAGAAAATTGAATTTTCAATTTAAGGGACATGGAGTGAGAGAATATATAAAATACCGAAAGAAAGTGAACAACGGTCGATATTAATAATTATCTCCGTTGAACGAATTCTCAAGAAATTTCACTCAAAATCCTAACCTAAACCAATTATTATTTCCTGCTGTCCCAGATAATGGAAAACTAAATAATCTTTAAATATAGGATTTTAGGGATCTTCTGTTCCATTGAAGCATGTCATCAAGAATGATTAATCGTTTTGTCCATTGTTTCGACTATAAAACCGATTATACACCTCTTTTTCTTTACTCCCTCAACATTTTTTTAGTTGATGAATTGTGTATTCTATGCGAGAGGGTGAAAATATGCAAACAAAACTTAACTAATGTTGTAAATTCCAATTTCCGATTACACGTTGTTTGGAGGGGGAAAAGTGACCAGTGCACTGAACTGTAAAACAGAATAGGGCTTCTTCGTTCTACATTCGTCAAAGGAGTAATAGAAGCAACTATCGACAAAGGTATACCAAGTGATCTGATCAGATCTGATTACTTGGCATGCTTTGAACGTCTTGTTAGAACTCACGCGCAGTTGCTAATACGTTTACGTCAAATTAGGTTTTGATATGCCATAAGGAACATTTCCTATTTTATCAAAATCAAGCTAATCATTCAGCTTTGGCAAACATTCGATTTTGATTAGTGAATTATAGGGGTTCGTTAAAGTCTTGAATTACATGTAATTTTTCAAATCCTTAATACCAACCGGTGAAAATAATTATTCAAATTCAAGCGATATAATTAATCGAAGAGTATCAAATTTCGGCAGCCCAAAATTCTAGGGGTAATAATTTTATAATAAAAACTAGGAGATTTGAATCGCATCGTGAATAAGGAATTTCAACACCCACTTTCAGTAACCTAACCTTTGTGACTGAACTGTGCAAACTGCAGTCAGCGTGTCAACACGCCATGTGCACGAAACTCGTAAAGATATTTCTAGTGTTTAAATTCACTTCAAGTTTCCCATTCCCAAGTTTAGTGTTACACTTTGCAAGCTTACCCGATAAATTCGAATGCCGAAATCCTTGCCGGGGTGTGGTTCTTCCTTGATCGGGTGGGGTCAGGATCACCCTGCCAGATTAAGTACTTTGGATTCGGATGGACGTGGGAAACTCGTGTCTCAATGATTCAGGACACAAACACATTTCCAAGAACACAAATTGTGTGTTGGTGAGTGTGTATGTAATGCAGAGGCTGAGGGAAAATACGTGGATGGATACAGCTGGGGTGGGTGGATATAGGTTGGACGGTCGCGGTCGGTTCGGGAAACGGGTGTAGGTGAAATGGAGCAGGATAAGGGGAATGCCCAGGCAGGATACTGCCTTCGCTAGGACATTGTTGATCCTTCTTGTCCGTGCAGTGAAATTCACTCGATCCTAATATCTCCACTTCTTTTTAACACCTATTTTCACTTTTCAATAAATCCCGCCGAAAAAAATGTTTAACACAAATTTCCCACTTCTTTTTCTCACGTCTTCAAAGATGTTTTTAAATTCAAGTCATTAATAATCAATTATCTTCCATTTAATCATTAACCGGCTTTTTAGGAACGTCCCTTCTCATCGCCCTCGTGGTCATCAGGGATCATCTTATCGCTTACAAAATGCAATAATCAATTTTCTAACCTCTGCCCAAAATATCTTCTTTCAACTAGTATCACAGTAGACTAAATTACTAACATTCACTTTCGAGCAATTGACACGTCCTGGTGGAAAAATGTTCTATTTCAGTAAAAAAGTAAAAATGGAAAAAACTGGGAGCGTATTGAAAATCTCACGATACCGCAATAAGACCACGCACCACACGGATGAATTTTATGAAAAGTCAACAAGAAGCGCAATGAAGTTGATCACTATATATCCGAAAGGCGATAAAAATTGTAACAGTTGAAAAAGATTTGAATTCTGTTCTTTTATTATTTTTTTGGTAAAAAAAAGTCGGGCGAAAAACTTGGTAATTGTAAAACGTGCTGCTACGATTTAAGACATCAAGGCCGTGAGCGCTATCCTGACAGTGGTGCGCGGCGCCATGACAGTGGTGGCTGCTCCGCACACATTCATCCCCCTACTTCGATCTTTCACGACTCCCCCACCGTTCAGTGGAGGAAACCTACCAACCCCTCAACCCTTCAAAACTACCCCGTTTCAGCCCCACCAAAGCAATATTGATCTGGCGGAAGGGCGGCATCCAGCGCGGTATCAACTACGTCTTGGTGCCCTCGTACGCACAGAAAAAGCACCCAATTTCATCTCAAATTTTCAACACCGTAAATATACATTCTATGCTTCTCTTCTAATTCTTTATTTCATTTGTGTAAATGGAACTCAAAATTTCCAGCTAGACAGAACTGTTTTACCAAAATTAGGATTTTCCATTGACGATACTTTGCTAGACTCTTCCCATATTCTGTAAAATTAATAAAATTGAATAGAAAAGTCAAATATTTGGAAAAATTAAGTCTAGTCGTTGCCCTTACTTTGCCAGAGTCTTCCCATAGTTCGGAAAATTAATAAAATTGAATAGAAAAGTCAAATATTTGGAAAAATTAAGTCTAGTCGTTGCCCTTACTTTGCCAGAGTCTTCCCCCAGGTTTGGAAAATGTATAAAATTTAATAGAAAAGTAAAATATTTTGGAAAAATTTATTTTAGCCATTGCCCATTTTTTTCCAAACTCTTTCCATATTTCGGAAAATTAATAAAATTGAATAGAAAAGTCAAATATTTGGAAAAATTAAGTCTAGTCGTTGCCCTTACTTTGCCAGAGTCTTCCCCCAGGTTTGGAAAATGTATAAAATTTAATAGAAAAGTAAAATATTTTGGAAAAATTTATTTTAGCCATTGCCCATTTTTTTCCAAACTCTTTCCATATTTCGGAAAATTAATAAAATTGAATAGAAAACTAAAATACTTTGGAAAAATTGAGTCTAACCGTTGCACATACTTTGCCAGATTTTTCCCATAATGTAAATAGTGGACCTAATGGTTTTTTAATTCCCAAATTGAATTAACGAACTGAAATTAGTGACATTTTCATCTCCAAAAACCCCGAATAATAGTTTTCAACGCTAACTTAAGAGATAAAAGTAAAAATCTTCCCCCACAATTTGACAAACAAAAGATAAGTAATTAATCATTTTACTCAAAGGTGTATCAATTACTATAATTCATTACACTGAAGTGTGTGTGTGATATTTAGAAACATGGAAAATTTATTACATCAATAAATAACTGCGGTGTTATGGATTAAATGAAATAAGTTGTTTATGAGACGTATATATAAATTATAGTGGGTGGGGAAGATTTGATTGCAAATGGGGTGAAAACGGTTAAGGTGAAAGGTTATAGATTGTGCTGATGTTATTAATATTACGATAGGTAAGAAGAGGGGTAGCAGGTGGATAAGATTGACTACTGCAAGTTGAGCTTCAGGTAACACTTAACACCTGATCTCCAACCTATTACGCTCCTGTTAACCATTCGCTGAACCCATCCTTACACTTTTCTCAAATCCCCTGCAAAAGATCGTCTATCTTTCCTTCGGCCCTGTTCGCGAAATGGATTCCTTGCAAAGCAACTTGCTACTCAAGATAATGTCGAGCTCTTATCTCTCATCTTAATGTATAACAATTGGCACTACGCAACGTATTTTAAACCCAAAAAAGACTTTTTAAAAAGTTTACAAACAAAATGGAAAATTTTTACAAAAATCTACGGATTTGGCATAATTTATGGCGTTAAACTTGGCATTTTGGAAAGTGTTTCCAATTCTTTCCTCCAGGAGTACAATTTGGCGCTAGGTATCAAGTCTTCCTAGACAAAACCACTTAAATTTTTTTTACAGGTAACTGCATATATGCACACCTTTTTAAAAAACTGCTATCACAATCTCTAGTTCGTGACTAAAATGATACATTTTTCCACGAACTAATAATATTATGCTAGAAATGCCACGTTTTTCAAAAATATTTACAAAACCGGAAGGTTTTACTTGTATCTGCTTTACTGTGAAAAATACTTAAAAATTAATAAATATAAAGTAAAAATAGATAAAAATTTAAAACACATAAACTAAAATTAGATTAAAATGTTAAAAATCATATAAATTAAAAGTAGATGAAAAATTGTGTGGCAAAATTTCTGTAGGTAGAGTTAAAAAAATATAGGCCGGGAAGAAAAATCGGTGTAGCAACGATTTCTAAAAAACCGAAGCTCAACTAAAGAACTTGAACATCATGAGTAAAGGTTAAACTTACCCCCAGTGGCTCTCTTCGCAGAATCCTGCCAATGCTTCAGGATCCTGAAACATAAAAAAAGTAACGACTCAGTAAGGCTGGCGCGTTTCAATCGATACATCGAATCGTGTTACAACTTTTGTAATTTACAACTTTGGAAAATCCCCGTAAGTGCGATCGCGTGACCGAGAGGTGTCGGTTCAACTTTACACCCAGAAGATGCCAAACGGTAAGGGGTGAGGGTGAAAGTAAGTAAAAGTTTAGGGAAAAGGAATTACTAAACCAACTTTTAAAAAAACGGTTTTCTTGAAACTTACAGTAACTTGAGAATTTTTATTAGAGTGGTATTAATTACCAAGAAGCAATTTACTAATTTTTTCCGCATAGTAACAGATGATTAAAAAATTAATCAAAAATTGATGTTATTATTATTATTATATTATATCATTAAACTGTCAATTAAATGTATGGTAAAGCGTGGGTATTAACTTTTGTTAAATGTTCTAGTTTTTATACAAAATTTTTTTCATTTTACAAAGCAAGAGAAAAATCTGTCAAAGTATAGACAACGGCTAGAATCAATTGTTTTGAAATTTATACTTTTCTATCAAATTATATACATTTTTTGAACTATGGGTAGAGTTTATAAAAGAATGCAATTACTAAAATATGATTTGTGAAATTTTTTGGATATTTTAGCAAATTGTTTTTATTTTACGAAGCATGGGAAAAGACTGTCAAAGAATGGGCAATGATTAGAAAGACTTTACTGGACTTATCCCGCATTTCGGAAAATTAATAAAATTAAATAGGAAAGTAAAATATTTTGAAAAAATTGAGTCTAGCTGTTACTCATACTTTTCCACTCTTCCCATATTTCGGAAAATTAATAAAATTGAATAGAAAAGTAAAATATTTCGAAAAAATTAAGACTAGCCGTTGCCCATACTTTTCAGAGTCTTCCTCTAGTTCGAAAAATGTATAAAATTTGATGAAAAAGTTTTAAAAAATTGTAAAAAAATTATTTTAGCCATTGCTTGTACTTTGCCAGACTCTTCCCATATTTCAGAAAATTAATAAAATTGAATAGAAAAGTCAAATATTTGGAAAAAATGAAGTTACGTGTTTAATTTTAGTTGTTTATTTTATGTTCACTTATTTAGAGATTTTTAAATAAGGATCAAGGAAAGTAAGTTCCTATATTTTTCTGTGAATTCATTTTTTCTACCTTCTATGAAAATAGCAGTAAATTAGGAAAATATTTTACTTTTTTTGATAAACTCTAATGGTGATATTTTGTCGGCAGGCTTTTTTAAGATCTGGTATGAGAGGCTTGATACTTGGGAACGTTTCCAGGCTTCGAACTTCCTTCCTTGGCTTCTTCCAACGATATCGACCACTTCGACTTTCCCGCCACGTTTCAATTCACCTCTTGACATCCGGGAATCAGTGCATTTCCGGCATCGCGAGAAATCTCGAGTGACATACATTTCCGCTCGTGGGACCACGAAAGGTGTGTGTATATGTATGTATATGTATATGCAACCTGTAGTTCCGCAAATAACAAAATTGATTTAACTCAACAAAAACACAATGCGAATCAATTTTAGTGGAAATATATTTCTATACTGAGAAATAGGAATCCCAACAAAGGAATGCGCTTTGTCAGTTCGAGAAATCGGATCTGGAATTTCTATTAAATCTCAATAAATTCGAGAAAGCCTTTATTACTATTTTTCTTTATTTGATTACAGAAAATTTAATTATAAAGGAAAAAAAAATTTTATTAGATTTAAATTTATTTTCCTAGAAATTTTAGTTGAGGAATAAAAATCTACAGGGACGAATTTATTTAATATATAAAAAGAAAGTTTAATTTAAACATGAGATAGAAAAGGATATAGACATACTTGGGTCCTTTTCTATCTTATGCTTTACGTTTCCGAATCTGTTACTGAAAATATGTAGATCGTTCTAATTGGCTGGTAATGTTTCTGAAAATTTACCCAGCCAATAAGAGTGATTTGAATCAAATAAAGTGAGTGGACAAAAACTTCATAAACCCACCATTGGAAGCGTTAGTGTCGCTATAGACAATCTCATTTTATTTTAATACCAATGGGAAAAGAAATGAAATTTTACATTCGGTTAACTCCCACAAAATCACATCGAAAAAATCGATTCTAATCTAATTGATCGTTAGAGAAAACGCCCCCGAAAGGCTAATAAGATTTTGCACGTGGTCCAAAGGAGAGATAAAGGACAACTGATAATCCTTAAAGTTAGTCAGTAGTGGTAGTTTTAGTTATACGTATATATAAGTTTACTCTAAAGGATCTTGCTCATTTTCACAAAGAGAAAGATGTTTGCAGCCAAGAAACTCCGAGGTTCACTTTATAATTTGTTAACTACCATATCAGAGAACAATTCAATACACATTCAATTATTTTGTCGAATTAACAGAGAGACATTGTACGACATCCAATGAAATCACAAAACTGTCTTCGATATTGTAATTAGATGTAATTGTGACCCGCTCTGAATATATGAACCTACAAGCAAATTATTTTAAGGATACAATTGTGATATTTTTTGTTTTCTAATATTTTTATAGTAATTAATACTTTCTGTTTAATTGTAAAACTAAAATCAGTTTTTATAAATTATTTTATATTTCCCTTTGGGGTCCTCCATAAGCTAAGTAGCCTCATTTTTTTTGGAAATTTTAACTCTTAACCTGAAAAAAATTAAAAACGTTCCCAAAGCTTTGAGAAATATACAAGTGAAACCACGGTTTTATTTATAAATTTCATTTTTTATTATTATTATCATTATTATTGTTATAACTTTTATTATCATTATTACTATTATTGTTACCATCACTATCACTATTATTGCTATTATTACTATTATTACTATTATTATTATTATTATTAATATTATTATTATTATAGTTATTATTATTGACACGAAACATTAAACGTGTAAATGGTCAACGTCGGATACG